CGAACCAGAGCCTGCTTCAAAGTGCATGAGGATGGTCGCCTTCCGGACGTACCGGGCATCGTCCTGCTTCAAAGTGCATGAGGACGGTATCGACCCGAAGGTCATGACCCAAAGGTCCTTATGTGATCACACAACTCATTATTATCTGAACCCAGCGTATAACGCTTCAGGGTATTTTAGGTGATCACATGCTCATGGCAGACACGCATTCTCGCGCAAGTTCATCACATGCCTCACTCTTGGCATACGCAATGCGTGTCCATGTTATGCAATACAATGCACCACGAGCACCACTATAATTCAGACACCCAATGTCACAACACGTGCTTCATTGGCCCAATTAATACCGTGTGGCCTAACGTGCGATTCACAAATCAGTAAATCATTGTAAACCAAACAATGGCCAATCGCACTCCATAAAATCAGCCACACCACATACGACATAGCAGTACGAAATCAATCACAATTAAGCACAATTGACGTACAATCAGTCAATCCGGACATACCCGGTAATTTTCCAACGGGCTCCTAAATTGGTCATTCAATCCAATTCTCCCCAAATAATTCTCATTAATCCACTAAATTTCCAAATGATAATTTCTACCAATCCGTCCTCAACCCAGTCTGAAATACACACTGATACTATCTACGCCAGTCCAAATTGTACCGATAATACCTAAACCAGTCCAGAAAAACGCACTAACAGTCCTAATCCGGGTTTAGGAATTTTACTCACTTAATTTCTGGACCACGGCGACGGGGAACGGCGGCTGATCACTGATGAACAGTGAAACCGGCGGCGGAATTCCCGGGCGCGCGTACTGTTCACGCGGTACTGTTCACGCACACTGTTCACGGAGGTACTGTTCATAGCGTAGTGTTCACTCGATAAGGACTTGTACGGAAGGGCGGAAAATGGTGGCCGGCGAAGTGGCGGTGACGGCACGGCGGGCGTACGGTTCGGCGTGAACAGTGATCCGTACGGGGACACGATGAACACTATGTACGGACACTGTACAGACAGGGCTGGGCGGCGACGTACGGACATGCTGAACGGCCGGGTGTCGACGGAACGGCGATCGGAGCTCCGGCGGTACTGTTGACAGAACGGAAAATGAGAAAAAGAGAGAAAAAGAGAGACAGAGAGGGAAAGGGAGAGAGAAAGGGCTGGACAGAGGCGGGAGTGGCTGCTGGTGGTGCTGGCTCGGCGGGGGCAGCTCCGGCTGGTACTGTTCCGGCGTGAACAGTACCAGTATGGACAGAATGGGTCACGGCAGAACAGAAAACAGAGGAAAAGGAAGAAGTTTTCGGGGGAAATGGCTGGAATGAGCTTCACGAGAGAGAGAGAGAGATATATGGTCTGGTCAAACTGAGTCAACACTGACTTGGTGGAATCCAAGTGTCAAGATCTAGGGCTATTGGACAATTTTGCCCTTGATCCAAGGGTTAGGATTCAATCTAATCTAATAATTTATGGATAAAATGGTCATTGATCCTTAACCCAAGCTGACCAGACCTGGTTTAGCCTTAACTCACCTTGGTTAGTCCCCTAATTAAATTCAAAATTCGGAATTACCAAAAATGGGTCCAAGGGCATTTTGGTAATTTTTCGGTCCCGGGTCAAAATTCCAATTTTCGCACATACGCGTTCCATATGTGTGTGGCCAACATAATATGGCGTCGGAATCGCGAAATTCACTTTTTAAGTCCTCGAAAACTGATTGCAAAGTTTCGGGAATAAAATAATATTATTTTTCCAATTTTTGTCGAAATTCCAATTTTTGACCAAAACCACTCTAAATGTGCGTGGCCATCCCAAAATAACCTTGGCTGCGAAAAATAACCTCAAACGGCCTCCGAATCCAGCCTCGGTGCCCACAGGGGCAAAACCGTAATTTTTCACCCCCGGACCGAAATTCCACTTTTTACTCGTACTAACTCTAAACGTGTGTGGCCAGTGTAATATGACGTCAAATTCCCAAAATAGTCTCTTAAGCCTTCAAAAATCGACATCGAAATCCGGGCTCAATTTCGTGATCAAAACTCGCTCGAGTTTTAATTTCAGGGTCTCTGGCTAACGGGCGACTGTTTAGGACATACGCGTATCGACCTAGGGTTATTCGAATTACGACGGTCCCAATCATTGAGAGAATGAGAAATTATCATTAGGTCCAAAGATCACGATCGTTCAGTTCAGGTTCAGGACTGGTTGGCCACGTGCACTTTCGGTCTTGCAGAGTCACCTGCAATCCGATTGTACATCGTTGGCCTTGGCCAAACCAAATCCATCACCTTTCCTAAGATCGGCCCACGTTGGCCCAAAATATTCACTCATCGTATCTCGAGATCGGTGTCCCGTTCACTGTCGAGTCCCTGGTCCACGTACCGTTTCCTAGTTAGCCATACCCCATTGGTTAGTATCCCGAGAGTGATCAGCTCTGGGCGAGACTTACTAAAATGAAATGCGAAATATTGTCAATTTTATTGATCCCGGAATTACGTCGAAATTCGGGCTGTTACAAAATATAATTTAGGTCATATTGGATCTTCTCAATCTACCGAGACACAAAGTGAGAGTACAGGTAAAATTAGTAGAGGGTACCAACTTTTATTACATAGACAAAAAAAACAAAAGGGAGTAATAGGAAATATTTCTGAATTAGAGATTTATCTAGCCGTTTCCTTTGAGTTTACTGAATCCGAAGGTAGTACAGGTTTTTTAATTTTGGATTGGTGGAAGAGCCACGCAATCCAATACCCAATCCTTTCTCTTATTGCAAAACAAATTTTTGCAACCCTTGTTCTACAGTTGCGATCGAACAAGCATTCAGTGCCGGAGGTAATATTTTGGACGAACATCGTTCAAGATTAGCTCCAGAATCAGTGGAGGCTCAAGTTTGTGTCGATGATTGGACGAAGGCTCAATACCGACAACAAGAGATAGATCGGAATAATGAATTCGAATTCTTTAACGACGGAGATACCACCGGTACCGCTACCGCTACCGAAACAGGTAGCGACGACTGAGGGTAAAAGAACTGTTGGAGTTGGCAAATATTTCGGGGACCCTTATTTCTCATACCGAGCACGTCCACGTGAGCTTAGGGAAATCGAAGTATAATCCGACGACATGTGACCCCTGCGCATGGAATGCGGGGGTTCGGATAGGCTTAGGTTTTGGGGTCATTTTAGGGCATATATATTGTGCTCCTTTTTTTTTTTATAGATCATTGTAACAAATTATAAGGCGTTTAATGATAATTTATTAAGTTCAAACCCCCTCTTTCTCTCTTTTTGTCCCCAAATTTGATTACAATTTACATTTTGATTACAATTTATATTGAATAATTCATAATTTCATAATTTCATAATTCATTTTTTTTATTTCATAATTTATTTTTAAAATTTTAAATTATGAACCGGAACCGGCCCGGAACCGAAACCGGACCGGAACCGGCCCGGAACCGACTGGTTCCGGTTCATACATGGCCACGAACTGGAACCGCCGGTTCCGAGCCGTGGCCATGACTACTAGAAATGCTCTTTGAAGCCCCTACGCATTGAGTTCCATTCTCACATGATACGTATCCTTCTTCCGTTAGGTGTGCAAATGCACTCTCGGAAAATTCTTATGCATAGCGAGCATCTGCAGTCCAGAGCGTCTCCCCTTCAGCACGGTGAGCTTTCGTAGCCCGGAGCATCCTTTCTTCAACACAGTGAGCTTTTGTAGTCCGGAGCATCCCTTTCCTTTCAAGTAATGTTAGATAAATTTCTAAGCCTCATTAAAAAAAAAATTGAAAAGAGAAAAAATTCCATCATCGTGGGGTGACTTTTATGGGAAGTTAAGAGACTTTATTAACAAATTCGAAGTTTAGGGAGTAGATTCCATAAATTGCAATAGTTTAAGCTTGCAGTGACTTTTATCTCAGAACATACTCTCAGCAGAGTTAACAATTGAGTGCAAGAAGAAGGTTGTTACCCCCCTCGAGAATTGATCCAACGAATAATGTAAAGTTAAAAAGAATCACAGATTAAAGTTACAAGCAAGTAATCAATTCTCTGCTTTCTTTTTTTTTTTTTTTATAATCGAGGTGTCCGCGCGGCCGGCGAGCTAGGGCTCAAACCAGCGGTGATGCCCGACTAGTCCTCGAGGGAGGCTAGCGCAGCATCCCACCGCCACGACCCTCCACTTAAATCACCGATGGGCGAGTTTGAACCCAGGACCTCTCGTGAAAGGAACTGAGCGCAAACCAACGCGGCCATCGATGGGTGGGTTTCTCTGCTTTCTTTGTCTTTTTATAATCCCTCTTTTTTTCTCTTCAGAATTGAATTTAACTAAGCTTCCCCACAAGTGTTAGGAACACAGACACACAGTGCCATTTCTATTATTAGCAAGATCCATCATCGTGGGGGTGACTTTTATGGGAAGTTAAGAAACTTTATTAACAAATTCGAAGTTTGGGGATTAGATTACATAAATTACAGTAGTTTAAGCTTGCGGTGACTTTTATCTCAGAAAGTGTAAGAGTTAATTCCTTGCATACTCTCAGCAGAGTTCACAATTGAGTGCAAGAAGCACGTTGTTACACCCCTCGAGAATTGATCCAACGAATAATGTAAAGTTAAAAAGAACCACGGATTAAAGTTACAAGCAAGTAATCAATTCTCTGCTTTCTTTGTCTTTTTATAATCCCTCTTTTTTTCTCTTCAGAATTGAATTTAACTAAGCTTCCCCACGAGTGTTAGGAACACAGACACTCGGTGCCATTTCTATTATTAGCAAGAACCTGATTGGTCAGCTTCTCGGGAGTGACCCAGCATAGTAAGGTTTCCGTTTCTTGACAAACCACTTTGTACTTCCTTTACTTTTTCCAGAAAATTTATGATCTTGTCATTAGTTTCATTTGTCTCTGTGAACATTTATTCTGTTTTAGCGGTGTGTCGATGATTGGTTCGGCAAAGTAAAAAATGTGTGTGTGTCGATGATCTCATATTTGATGTTTGGGAAACTCTTGGTGTACTAAACTGCTTTACATAATCGGTCCATTAAGCAATGCGGTAATCAGTAGTTGGGTGTTTAAATATGAGTAGCTTCTTTAGATATCCTTCTGCAATCAGCCATCTCATTGAATATATCAATTTCGTTGATCTGTTTTAGCAAAACTAGCACCTAGCAATGCTTATAGAGTTCTGAAACTTCTCTTTCTCCTTTTTAAGTGGGTTTCACTCATGCAGGACAGCAAGACGTAATTAATCTCATTCACTGGAATGGAAGAATTAGAGCAGTGTTAGGATCCGAAAATTTTACTGACCATATTGAATGAATGCAACAAGTTTAGAGATTTTTGTTTAATTCTTCAGAATAAGTCCAAGGCAGTTTATCCATTCTCATCGTTGTTAATTTTGTTTGCGTTATTGTTTCTCGGGGAGAACAGCAGAAGACATCACCTCCCCCATGAAATCGTTCAATCTGATATCATCCATAGTCAGTACACAATGGCCTGCGTCGAAAGATTTATGGGAAGCATGGGGCATCCATTGGCTGGTCACCATGAGCCTCGCTTGCCAGATCACCCTCACCATCTTCGGCAGCTGCCGGAGGTACAAGGCCTCGACCATCCTCAAATACGTCATCCTCACCGCCTACTTGCTCTCTTCTTACTTTGCGACCATCGCCCTTGGCAAGCTCACCGTTATCCAGATCGACAATCCTCATCGACCAGACTACATTACTGAGCTCAAGGGGTTGTTGGCACCGTTGCTCTTGATGCAGCTTGGGAACCCCGACTCCATAACCGCATACTCGGTTGAGGACGACCGGCTTAGTGTCCGGCAGGTGCTGAATCTGTTCGTCAGGGCCGTTTTCGTCTTCTGCATCCTGATTCGCTGCTGGGACAGCTCGTCCCCCGTCCCATTTTTGTACTTCTTCTTGTTTGCTGCCGGAATCATGCGGTCAGCAGTGACAGTTTGGGCCCTCATGTCCGTGTACTGGAAGAGGTCGATCATATCAGCCAAGGATATCTTCGACGAGGAAACTGTTGGCAAGTTCTTATACAAGCTCGACAGGTCCAGATGGTCGATTGAGCAAAAGATCATCTTGAAGGCATACTATCGATTCGATTGCTTGAAGCCCTACATTGTAAGCTGGCTCTACCACCCAAAATCGCTATCTAAATCTCAGTTAGATGTAGATCGTGATTTAGCCTTCATCACAGCTGAGGTCGAACTTGGATTCATGTACGACACACTTTACACCAAGCAACCGGTTCTCAATAAACGAGTCGGTCTTATCTGCCGCTTAACTAGCTTTCTCTGTCTAGTCTCAGCCTTGTGTCGATTTGCTGTTATTTTCAAGAGTGCCTTCTTGATAGACATGCACATCACCTACACTTACACCTTGTTGATAGGAGTCACCGCCCTAGAAGGTTACCAAATTGTTCTGCAATCCTTCTCGGCATGGACCATTGTGGCGATGAGCCATTACCAAGGAAACTGCCCCGTGTTGAAAAGGCTATTGAATTTCTTAGCTAAAAGGTATATGAAGCGAAAAACGTGGTCAAACTCAGTTGGGCAACTCGACTTGTCGGATCATCGCCTGTACAAGGAGTGGCTATGGTCCAGTGGAAGAATCCTCAAACACTTGGGCATTAAAGAGGTGACCTGGAGAAGTTATTGGATTCACTCTCGTCTGAAAATCCCTAGCTCTCTCAAGGAATTGCTGGTGGAAAATATTGGAAAGTTTGATGTGATCAGAAAAAAAAAGCCCTTTACAGAACGTGGCGAGTGGACGCTTAAAGCTCACGAACTCAGCGTCAATGTGGAGTGGAAGCAGGATCTTGAAGTGTTGAGAAGAAACATCTTGAAAACATTTGACAAAAGCATCATCATTTGGCACATGGCAACGAACATCTGCCTCCTTTCAGAGCGTGATGATTCTCCGAACTGTAAAGGAAGCGAACTGCTGTCCAATTACATGATATACCTTCTAGCACTGCGACCCTACACGTTGTCCCTAATGACTACCGACATCACATTGGAGCATGCTTGCACCATATTGAAGCCATTTCTTAGGTACAGAGACCGCAATGAGGCATTGGGGACACTGTCGTCAACAGAGACTCTGTGCGAACCCACCCTGGATCAGAAGAGAACCATAATCACCAGGAAGTGGCACGTGCTGTCAGACGTGCGGGAATTGGCTGCGAAACTGAAGGGCAAAAACAACAAGTGGCAGATCATAAGCAGCATTTGGGTGGAGATGTTGTGCTACGCTGCGTATAATTGTCAAGTTTACCATCATATGAAAATGTTGCGGCAAGGTGGAGAGATTATAACTCATGTTTGGCTACTGTTGATGCACGAGACTGATAAGTACTCCTACACTCCCAAGTAGACCAAAGGAACCAAATAAACGTCGCAAAGGGAGTCATGATCCTAGTATTGATCATGCTCTGCACCCAATTGTTGTATGTGTGTGTGTGTTCTCTCTCATTTTTCCTTCTGGGTAAAGAGGTGCTTTCTCAGTAAAATCACTGTAATCACATTCAGCTAAGAGACTTGTCAATGAAGCATAGTGACATATATATTGGATGTAGATCCTATATATTCAAAAGGCTTGTTCTCTTTACACTCCCTTGCCCCTCATTGCTTGGAAAGTAGTTTAAATTTTTGAAACCATTATTGACTAGGATTGTGGTTTGGTTTTTAACTTGTCAACGGTCCGACATAGTAGACACTGGGCAGGTGATTTTGGGGAGCAGAGTTTTGGTTTTTTGGTAGTACTCAGACCACGTTCATAATGTTGGAAAACATCTTTCAGTGATTACTGAATCCAGAGTATTTGACAAGCTTACGTAAGTGTTGCAGAAACTTACAACTAAACCATGCCGGTTCTACAGTCATACGAGTGAGATTTGCTTAGGAGTGGAAATTTGCAAACGCAAGGTCATATAAACAAGCATAGGCTCTACATTTGACCAGGCAGTGCAAACTTGGAGTCACCAGGTGTTTACACCAAAAAATAATCAAATCCTCGACATGTACGAGCACGTGACTAATGCATGGACAAGAGCGATCATGTGACTAATGTATGGACATTGTCATACATGCGACACATTGTTGACGACCACAACGATATTAGCAATCGCTGTTGACACACTTCAGCGGCACATGTTGATCGATACCACCAATGAGTTGTTGATATACGATGACAAATGATTAATAGTTATCAAACAAGTGTGCCGATAAGCGAAGGATAGTGTACAATTCGCTGAATACATATGAAGTGTTGAGATACAATTCAAAGCTCCAGGCCACCAGAGGACGAAGCAATTAAAATGGGAGCAGCTAACAAGCATTTACATGAGGAGTATCGGAGTATGATTGCAAGCTCAAGAACACCATACTGGGCAATTGAGATTGTGAAGCAACTGACACGAATGCTTTGAGAGAACAACCACCATTCGAGAACAAGATTATGGGATCGTGAGAATGGGGGCACAAGATTTTCGGAATGAAAGAACAAAGGAACAGCCACTAAAAAACATGATCATGGGGCAGTTGACACGCATTTTTAAAGGAAAAATTGCTCGAGAACAAGATCAAGAGATCGTGAAAGTATGGACATAAGTCTTTCGGAAATGGAGGAGAATAGAGGCAGCCAATAGAAACTGTTCAAGAAGAATGCAGTCATTGGAAACTGCTGGAGAGCAGTTATCACACCATCATTATAAATACCACTGGCGAATCTACTAGAGACCCCCCCGGGCTCCATGCAAAAATCAAATATTTTACTATCTATCAATATCTTTACTTTCTTACACTGTGCTTTTTTTATTTTCGAGACTAACGTCATTGATTAAATTCCATCGTGTTTATTAGCTGTAGTTTTCAGATTCCCATTGTCGATTAAATTCCGGCATATATCTTTATCTTAGCGTCCTCAGGCTTTGTTGTCGATTAAATTCCGGCAAAATTTATTTATGTTTGGTTTGCTTGTAATAGTTGCACTTTCCAAGCCTTGTCGTTGATTAAATTCCAACACGGTATGCGTTTGTATAGTTTGGTTCCAAGTAAAGCTGTTGATTTCCTTGTTTGCCAGTATCTTTTCTATCCGGAGTTGGCGCAAAACTCGTCTCCTCTAATAAAAATCGAAAAACGATTTCGATGAAAGATATTTCGTCATGGAAGAAATTCCGATGAAACATCTTTTTGGCACGCCTAATGGGACCAGTGTAGCTAATTTTAGAAGATACAATGGTACACACGAGGAATTAGCTAGATTTTGACAATGTTAGTGGAAACAATTCGTCACCACCACCTACTAAAGAGAGGGTAGGACGCGCTAAATCGTCTACTGCACCACTAGTGGTAGACCAAGTCCAAAGTGGAGATGTCAACGTCCCAAGGCAACTCACCAACAAACAGAGAAGATGGTTGGAGACAAGTCGTGTTAGGATGGCTACCATGAGGAGGATCCTAAACGAACACAATAATGAATTGACTAATTACATGATGAAGCACATCGGCGATGTTATCAAACCGGTGATCGTTTATACCTTCCATGAACTCATGAATGGACAACAAATATCGAGCAATTCAGCTCAAGTGCTAACTAATCCTGCTAATCCTGCACCTTTTGGGTATGTTCCTTCATCCTCTACTGCTCAAATTACTTTTAGTACTGTAGGGCAGATCATATCCCCTCCACCACCACTCAAAATTTTCCAAAGAGCTAAAATTGTTGGTACGACCCAAACCTGTGGGCCAATCCTGACCAATAAAGGCAATTTGCCTAATCCTACTCAAGTTAATTCGGGAGGTAGCAATGGTGGCAATGTGGTGAATCAAAATGCTCGATCAAACCTACCATTACCTTAGCAAAACATGTCATTGCCCCAAGCAAAACATGCAATTGCCAAACGCATAAAATGTGTAGCCGGTTGGCCTAGCACCTCTGGTTGATAATGTAAGACCGATCGACATAATACCTCAACCTAATCTAGTGCCTATCCCATATAGGCCTAAAGCTGCTGTCGACAACCAAGGCAGACCACTGACCTTGCCTAGGGGGCAAGTTGTTCCACAACACATATCACAACCATTACCACAATGTTTACCGCAACCACCACCATAACCTTTTCCTCGAACACAACCCACTGTGGTGCTTATTGCAGTGTCTCTTGGACAAAAGTAGCAAAATTCACAAATAATGTTCAAACAAGTGATGCGACAGCATTGGTGTGATTTAGGGTATGCCAGACCTGTATACAGAAAGCCATATGCAAACTGGATGGATACATTATCTTATCTGAGCGGCTCCAAGATACCTGAGTTCACTCTCTTTTCTGGTGAGGACGAGCAGTTAACTCTTGAGCACGTTAGCGATTTACTGCACAATGTGGTGATGCGACGTATGGCAATTGTTGGAAGTTGAGATTGTTTCCATTGTCATTATCCAAAACTACCTTCACTTGGTATACAGCATTACCCGCTAATTAGGTTCACTCTTGGGAGTAGATGCAAAGATTATTTCATAGCCAATTCCAAAGATCCATTCCCTATGTTTCTATTGTGGACTTGGTGGCGGCCATGAAACAGCAGATTAATAATAGACTAGTTCATATCCCGATTAAAAAAGGAAAGAAATCGGTATCTCTTGTCACTGCCAGAAACGGCTTTTGCCAAAGTAGCTTTTGGTGGCCTCAAGTTTTGCCTTAAGAGAAAGAATGGAAGAACAACCATACAACGACCTCTTCTAACTAGAAACAAGGGCAATTAGACACGAAAATTTGTTGAAAGAGAAAGAAGCCAAGTAAACATGATATGACTTTGTAGAAAGGTACAAACCCGAGGATGTTTTGGACCAAGGAGAATATGCCATGATAGTTATAGCCCAAATAGTGGTTGACAAGCCATACGTCTGTCAAGCATTAAGGCCAGCGGGAACCAAAGAAAAGCTGAAGGAGAACATCATGGTTAAGGCGAAAGACACTCAATAGTACTCATTCGAAGTGAACAAGATTGATGAAATTAACTGAAGGCCAAACCAGACCAAGCAATGACGAGTCGATAGACAAGAAATACTGCAAATGGCATGTAACAGCCTGAATTTCGATGTAATTCCGGGATCAATAAAATTAACAATATTTCGCATTTCATTTTAGTAAGTCTCGCCCAGAGCTGATCACTCTCGGGATACTAACCAATAGGGTATGGCTAATTAGAAAGCGGTATGTGGATCAAGGACCCGATCGCGAAGCGGACACCGATCACGAGAAATGATGAGAGAATATTATGAACCAATGTGGATCGATATTAGGAAAGGTAACGGACTTGGTTTGGCCAAGGCCAGCGATGTACAATCGGATCGCAGGTGATTCTGCACGATCGAGAGTACACGTGGTCAACCAGTCCTGAGCTTAAATCGGACGATCGTGACCTCTGGAACTTGTGATAATTTCTCATTCTCTCAATGATCAGGACCGTCATGACTCGGATAACCCTAGGTCGATACGCGTAACCTCTAGACAGCCACCCGTTAGTGAGAGACCTTGAAATTGGAAATTGAGCGAGTTTTGATCACGAAATTGGGCCCGGATTTCGATGTCGAATTTCGATGGCTTAAGAGACTATTCTTGGAAATCTGACGTCATATTGTGCTGGCCACGCATATTTTGAGTTAATACAGTTGAAAATTTGAATTTCGGTTCGGGGGTGAAAAAATTACGATTTTGCCCCTCGAGACGCCAGCGTTGCTTTTCGAGACCAAATGAGGTTATTTTTCGAGGCCGACGCCATTTTTGGGTGGCCACGCATACCAGGAGTCGTTTTGGACAAAAATTGGAATTTCGACAAAAATTGGAAAAATAATATTATTTTATTCCCGGAACTTCGCAGTCGATTTTCGAGGGCTTAGAAAGTGAATTTCGAGATTCTGACGCCATATTATGTTGGCCACGTACATATGGAACACATATGTGCAAAAATTGGAATTTCACCCCGAGACCGGAAAAATGACCATTTTGCCCCTGGGCTATGTTCGGGTCCGAATTTTTGGGAAATTATTTGGGATATTTAAGAGTGCTTATCAGCTGCATTATTGGGGCTAAAGACCTTTTTGCCCCTCAATTATTGGATAGGATTTGTTTAGAACCGTTAGATTAGGGGCATTTTGGTCCAAACCGCCGGATCGGCGACACGTGGCACTTTGGGCTGCTTTATTTGACCAGCTGACCATCTTTTCTCTCTCTCCTCCCCTCATTCTCGACAGAACCAGCCCCCAACAGCAACTTCTCTCCCATTTTTCCTCTCTTTTTCTCTATTTTCCCTCTTGGTTTTGTCTCGCCGGAGCTCGCCGCCGGCCACCGGAGCGCCGCCGCCGACCGCCGTGCCCCGCCTCGACCACCACAGCCCCCCAGCCCGAGCCTCGCCTCTGTCCAGCCCTTTCTCTCTCCCTTTCCCTCTCTTTTTCTCTCTTTTTCTCTCTCGGTAAAGCACCGCCGCCGCGTCCGAGCCTCGCCGGAGCTTCACCGGAGCTCGGATCGCTGTTCCGTCACCACCCAGCTGTCCAGCCTCGCCGCCGCGACGCCAGTCGT